TCCGCGAGACTGACTATTGACAAGCTGTAAGTAGCATAGGAGGAAAAATAATTTGTACAGAGTGTACTTTTATTTCAAAAGTCGTCAGTTCGTGAATCACTCAAGATGTAATTGCGTGATGTGAGTGCCATTACAGAAGGACCGTGGGCGCTATATCCCTTCTGGGCTCAAGATGACTAGACTACTGCCAACTGCCCGGGGTCAAGCAGTTAACTGTTCAAACTAGTAGCCTCTGTGTCACGGGTTCGAAACTCCCTGGAGTTTTGTGAGATGCGCACTAGAGATTAAACCAACAGGAATGAAACAGCTGCACAACGCCTCTGGGCTTCTTGTTCTAAGTTGAGTTTGCTTGCGTGACAAAACCTCTATCGAAAAATCCCAAAATCTCCATCTACTACTGACGAAATAAGTCAAGTTTGCGAAATACATTTGCAAACTAATTTGGTTTTGCGAGAGGCTCACCTGGAACCCAGCTGAATCTCTCGTTTGTGATGCTTCCATACAACTGAATGTGCTGCACCAGGCCGCCTCATGTTTCAGCCGCTACAATATTCTAGATATCGTGATATAGGTATATTCGTAGCGCACTACTCACAAGGTTGCTGTCGAATTTTAAGTCAATATTTATTTTTTCTTGGTTTATCGAAAATAACTTTCGCTCCTCAATCCTCAAAAATTTTTATCATATTAGAATTTATGTGAACACTGCGAAGGCGACGATTATTCGCCAACTTGGTAGTCCCTATGCGGTTGAAGGCAATGTACTCTAACAATTGAGGGCCCGTGAGAGGGAGTCCCTTAGTGGACGTAGTCTTACTTGGAAGACTAGAATATGATCCAACGGGTGCCGTAGGATTTTTATTATGAATAACTCACAAAGCACCATCTTTTGAAGTACTGGCTGAATAAATACGTTTCAGTAAAGGCCATACATTTTCCACCCAAAAGTTTATCAGTCCTCTGTTTTTTGATCATGTGCTTATTGATCTCTTTCTCCAAATGACTGATTGGCTTGAAACCATTTCAACAACCATCTGACCAAGGACTAGTAAACGTTTCCGAGTTAAAAGCTTGTCGATTCTCGATCATCCCACTAATTCTATTACTGAAGTCTAACATAACATCATTTTGGCCTGTCGTACAGTTCAGGAAACTCTGATAATAAATCAGTTTTGCTGGAAGCAAACGTTTTCACGTAAAATACAACCGTGGAAATTGAGTTAAATGGCTAAAACCATTCATTACTAGTTTAAAAGACACTAAAAACCCAATAAAAACATTTTTGAAATGGATCCTGACGTTATCCGTTAATGACTGTCATCGTGCGGCAGTAGTTGAATGGTTCAAAAACGTTCGAGTAACCCGCGTGGTGCACTTGCGTTGAAGTCTTTCTGGGCCACAACTGAGTTCACCTTGCGTGGGGCTCATCAGGTAGTCACAATCTCAAGTTTTTGTTAACCATATGTTATCTTTAAACTCAGATCGGGGAGCTTCAGCTAGGATTAATTTGAGTGTCGCATAAAACTAAATTAGTAGACAACTAAGCTTATTTCGTGCATCGTATTCCTCTTTCTCGAACTTCTCGAAATGAAAGAAGTTAGAAATTGCGATCTGTAACAAATTTGGTCATTTTTTATTCTTACTATTTAGCATCTACTCAGCAACGGAAACAGCTACTGGTAGAATTTTCAAGGTCACATCGTGAGTTTTGAATATTCTGACCCCGAAGACCAATAGATACACCCGGAAATTAATTCTGATTTCTTAAGACAATTCACTGAGATTCCGAAAGCTAAAATCAGCAGACAGATCTGTATCGGGAAGTTACACTCTTGTGATCCTAAGGTGACGTTGTCAGATTCGCCCATTTGAAGGACGCCATTTTCTTTTTGAAGTAAAATCAGGACAGATTTAGTGTAAATTGCGCAGCGCTTAATTTGTGTGTGAATATGGCCATAGGTATTTATGGAAAGCACGTCAATTGTGACTGCCCTGTGGAACGTAGCCGATTCGCAATTCTAATTAAATTCGAGAAGAAAATGTGCTTAGTACTCCTGTCTTTATTTGGATGGTAGGCAGGGATGCACAGTTTCTCCATTCCTGTTTAACTTCGTGATCGACGAAGTCATGAGACGAAAGCTAGAAGGTCTCCAAAGTCCCTGGTGTTCAAATAGCCGCTGGCGAAAACCTTGTCGATCTGGAAAATGCAGAAAACATCGTTCTCATGTTCGAAGAGGAGGAAAAGGAGCAATTATTCTTGGATGAACTGACCAAAGTCATCCCGTCCTTTGGTATGCACTTTGCAAGGTCATGCTTGTGGACGTGCAGTCACTGAACACTCCACTTACAATCCAGGGAGAGGCACTGGAAGTTGTGAAGCGTTTTACGTATGTTAGAAGTTGTATTGGTTCTGAGTGTAGGTTCTGACTGTAGTGTGACAGATGAGTTCACTGCACGATGTGCAAGACACGGGTCGCATTTGCTAATTTGAAACACCTATGGCGTCAACTGGTTTACTCCTGAATCTCAAAGTGTATATCAGCCTACAGTGTGGGCTGTTTTGTTATGTGGCTGTGAGACCTGACCTATTCGAGCAGCGCAACTGAGACGCCTTCAGGTATTCGGCAATCGTTGTCTCTCTGTTGAAATTGGAACTCAAAATATGTTTGTGCAGCGCTAATGGGAATAGTAAGTTCTATCCAAATATCATGAATTACTCCCATTCTTGATTGATTACTGTTTTGCACCCCGAATGTTGATTGAATTACGCCATCCCCACTAATTGATGGTATTGTGGTTTGGTTAGTCAGTGTAGAGTAGTCGCACTAACACAGATCCAAGAAAAAGAGTGCACTTCCTTCGGTTTGATTGCACCTGATGTCATGTGCGATCAGCACAGATGACGGACGTACTCCCGTTTATAAACGGACAGTTCAGAGCATATTCGTATGTTCCATGGTAATGTGAGGAGATCTGATCATATTCAGTAAAGATTTTATCATGTCAGTGAAGCCAAACCGAGAAGCACTGGATAGCTGTTTTTTTCCTGGATAGGAATCATTAGCAGTGTGTATCTCACGAAACTCAAAGAGTTTCGGACCCGCGACCATCCGGTCTGTGTTCTCTTTACTTGACCAGCGTCGAAGCAAACTAATTGTGCAAAACAATGTTCACATCCATGGCTAGTTGCCCCTAATCACGCTGTATTTTTGCCTAGATTTGCTGCGCTTCGTGCACCAATTCTACACGCTCCATGGAATACTGTATGGTCATCGATTGATCAATCAACCGATGAGTCCCAAACCAATGGTCACCTACTTTTTTCCATCTCAGTGCTTCAGAAACACTTGAACAGTCTTCCAGTTTCTTCTGCCCCCGAATCGGTCGTATGAATCGTCACATCACCATCCTTGTCGGTTTTCACTTAATCCTCCAAGTATGTAATCATTTTGAATTCGTCCCTTCTAATCGAAGGACAAAAGTTTTGATGACCTTCCGGGAAATAGCCTGCAAAAGTAGGTCCAGAATATTCTTACTCAACTTTCCAGCGTGTTCGAATGTCCTTTTGCCAGTCACCCGAAAAACTCAAATCATACACAAGGCCAAGAAGGAACTACTCATCCGTGAAGATGAAATGTGCGTTTTGTTTGAGTATTTATTGTAATACCTTTAGCAGAGAATCAATTCACAGTACCAAGCATTTCTTTTCCGAAGGTATTGCTTAGTTGGAGGTTTCCTTGTAAGGGAGAGCACTGAAAAAGGTACTAATCAGACACTCGGAACTGATATTGTGCTTCTCTGCTGCTCACCAGAAGTCGATCTATGTTTGCACGCTTAATTGAGCAGCGAGACTTCTAACTTCCTGCGATATTCCGCCAGAGCTCAGAAAGAGTAGCTTTTTGCTGTTACCATGATCTCCGGAAATATAACATAAAGTATAGCCCAAAAGACTACCAAACCAATGTAAATGGAATCTGCAAGTGCTAAAAAGTTAGTTTATAAAAGCGTCATCATGTTTCTGTGGGTACCCAACAAGCCAGGGTAGCCTAAATGATCACCTCGTAACCGGTTTCAGTGCTCATTAGCACGCGACCACTGGTCTCATTAGCTGGTACGGCTCACATGCACGGGCTGGGCGATAAAACCTAACGAATTGAATGGATAAGACTAACCACTGTTTCGCTGAAGAATCCCCCCACCGCCCGCAAGCAGTAGTATGGCTTTGTCCCCTAAAATTTCAACACAATGATTTTAACATGCGAGTCGGTGCGAACGAGGAAAACAGTCCGACACTGTGTACACCTCTTCTGCTAGCTTATAGTTACATATTTCGCAGGTCGCTTGGGAAAACTCTATAAATGATTGATTAAGTGTCATATGGGAACCGGAGTTAGAGGTAGACTTTCTAGTGAGATTCCACGTAGTGCAGGGCTGTTGAAAATATTTCTTTGATGAATTACGTCACCATCATTTATGTCAGTATCCCTAGGGCACGATAACTCAGCATTATTAAAACTGCCCAGAAGGTAGCGGTTCGCGACGCCACAAGGTACAGTACAGTCCTGTCGTAGGTTCCATTATATATTTATTTACCTGCCTGTTCTGCGCATAGTTCATCATCGGCCATGAGTTGCCAGCTTGTCGTGTATATCGGACTTCAGCGATGCACATATCTGTCAGGCCATACCAGCCAGAACTTTGTCCCGTGTTACAGAGGCTAATGCAGGACAACAGAAGCAATCTTGGGTTAAAATCATACCACAGACAGCGACAGAAGTGCGATTACAGGACAATGTTTCCTCAGATAGCCTGCACTTCTCTGATGCTCCCTTCCTCGATTAAAGACAAGTTAGAAAACATCGGCCAAAAAAACTAACTGCACATTCCAGTGGAGAGCCAAAAGTGACTATCGGTATAGGGATGCCTTAGTTAAACAAGAGTCTAGTGTGTGTAGCTGTATTATGCGTCAGGTGATTACACCTTACTCTCTTCATCCCCAGGTTCATACAGCCAACTGCGGCCAAGTAAGTTAAACCATCGAGTCGTTGGCTTCCGGAGTCGGACTATGGCTCCAGCCAGTGAGCTGAAAATGATAGATATGGTAAGAACTGAAGGCTAAAACGGACTGAAGACGACTGATTTTGACTGAAAACCTTGGAGAACGGAAGTAACAAACTGCAAAGAAGAATGACCATGATTGCCAGCGAGGTCTACTCATCTGGTGATACTGTATCATCTACTGAACTGAAACATCCCGGGACAGCCCATGGAAAAATACGGCCAGATGAATGGTCATTGATCATACGAATGGAAGAATATCAGTTGAACCGAACCGCGCCAGTAGTAGGATAGTGACTATCACGGGTGGGCTGTAAACAGAATATTGAACCCTTTTTCTCCGGTGTCTGTTTCAACGAAGCCTAGCTGAACACCTCCATCAGCAGCTGTTGTAAGTAATCACATCCATTCGGTAGGATGATCGTCAGTTACTCATGAGTGGTAACTTGAACACCTAGGTTGGTTCAGACGAGATTACACGCAGAGAAATAATCGGGCTGAAAATTCGTGGACAGCCCACGACTGGTTTCGCTCTTCTTGGGGCTCCTCAGGTAGGCGCAGTTCCCGAGTTTCCGTTAACCTTATGTTCTACTTGAAACGAGAGATTCAGCTGGGTTCCAGGAGAGTCTCTCTAAAGACCAGATTAGCTTGCAAATGAGTGTATATTCGCTAATTAAAACGTAAGGTTGATGGGAACTCGGAGACTGCGCCTATCTGATGAGCCCCAAGAAGGGTGAAACCGGTCGTGGGCTGTCGACGAAGTTTCAGCAGTGTTATGAGTAGTGCATTAAAAATATATACATGTATCGCGATATCTCGAGTATCGTAGCCACTGAAACATGAAGCGGCCTGATGCAGCACATTCAGTTGCCTGAAAACACCACAAACGAGAGATTCACCGGGGTACCGGGTGAGCCTCTCGAAAAACCAAATTAGTTTGCAAATGAGTGTATATTCGCCAAATCATCGTGATGTTCCCAGTTGGAAGCACGAACGTCAGAGAATAACATCTTATGTTTTGTGTAATTATAGAGCTGTCCATCACTTACGGCTGGTTGGCTGTCGAAAAGAGACTATAGCAACTTGAACGCAAATGCGAAGCGCAAATATCTACTGGAATACACCGTTGTCTGGCAAAAAGTCGTGAGTGAATTCTCAGAGAAAAGTTGTAGAACGTAACACGGACTTTATACATTTACGCACGCCGCATTTCGAGTGACCCTGAAGAGAGTTCCCTGTCATGAAAAGAAGTAATTGTCAATCAGATTTATCCAAAAGCAGCTGTCGGATCCATCAGTCGCGCATACCATCGCTCACGGACAGTGGAGTACAACCATACCACAAAAACTGAGATAGCGATGGATTCAGATAATGAACGGTGCCAGATATTTTGTGATAGAAATCACTGGGTTCAATAAATGATAGGGGTACGATGTAGTATTGTCTCCCCAAGACCACCATCTCCAACAAGACGCTCCGTCATTCATCACAGTTGTTGACTCCAGCAGAACTTCATAATACAAGGTTCAAACTTCTGAACCACCTACGCAAATCGCAGCATGAATCGTGGGTTATGGGTAGCCAAGAGATCAACGCTGTCACATCGGGTTCTCCGGAGAACTAGAAAAACCCATAAATCGAAAGTGCATCTGGTTCACTAAATCCGGGACACCATGACGGCCAATCTAGCATGTCCGAAAGCACACCGGCTGTCCGAAACACACTCTCAACATTGCTTAACAACACATCTAGCACATATCCGGACAATCTTGTAGAATTACCTCAGACATCGTGTTAGAAAGGGTCTTTCAAACCCACCTAGGAAGACTAACCTTTGCAAGGCGCTGACTGAAGAGCAGAAAGGCTGCTGCAGAGGGCTTATTACTCATTCACGTATCTAAAATGGGTATGTCAATATTGCAAGATGTTTGTCGTCTGGATTAAAATGAACAGGTTCCATAAGAGTTCAGTGTCTTGGTCAGTCTCCTGTTCAAAAAGAAGTGGAGGCCAGCGGAAACCGAATAGCTAGCTAAGATCCGTCCTCTCTATAACAAAGCTAACCGCTTTTCTCTCGTTCTTTTCGTCCGGCTGAGCAGATGCTGATATTCCGGAAGACACACTGGTTTGTAAGCGAAGGCTGTACATTTGACCCCATCTTTGCAGCTCATCGTCCACAAGAAGAATGCCACTAATGAAGCCATTTCCTAAGTGCGCTGCTGGTAGGCGCTGCAGGAGTCATGGACTCGGTGAGGGAAGAGACGCAGTGTATCGTTCTTCGGAACATCGGTTGTTCTAAAAATTGTCAACAGTCTCACCTCACTAGTTCCGGTACTAAGGCTTGAAATGTAGCTCTGAAACCGTCTCTGCAGATTTCTTTATTCGCGTGAGACCATAACAGGGTTGTTTTCTGTGTCGGACTTCTGTCTAACTATTATTTGGGTGGTAGTATTTCGCTATTCCAACACTGTCAACGAGTCAACTGGGGAATTTCCTCAGCCAATGAGTTGCCAATGACGGTTATTTGCTCATTCGGAGGAATGATTGCGGGAAATACATACATTTTTCGAAACACTCGAACCTTGTAAGGCAGTCCTGAGTTCACAACAAAACGTAACCCACATTCAAATTATTTGTTACAGCATAGTGTGTTGTGCGGATGCAACGTGCCCCCGTCTACAGATTTCACTATCGACACTGAACTAAATTCCCGAATCGCTGCGCTTGGTTGCCTATACAAACGCACCTGAGGTTAATCTGGGCGTGGTTGCCAACCTTTACCCCCCGCGTTGTGGTGCCTTCGCCCTTGTACGGAAGTAAACAATAGCTAAGCTACCGACATCACATTCAACTAGTAGATATATCCTACGTACCATACCTGTACAAGATCATTCGGATTCAGTAATTAGGTTGAATACTTAACACAGGTTCCCAGGCGAACCGAAGTCAACGATCCTGCGCGTAACCATCCAGCTGCGCTTACCAGGTCACGTTAAACAAATTGCCGACAATTGCATTGCTGAATAACTCATTTAAAGTCAGCTGAACAGTGGAGACCGAAACAGAAAGCGGTCGAAACTTGGCTACTGAAACAGACTTCAGGCAGGCTTGAAAACAAAACTTTGGTTTTCTAACCTCATGGAGAGCTAAGACTTAACCGAAAAGCCTGGTGAGCTGTTGGTTATAAAGGCTAAAAGAAACTGGATACATTGCGTACGAGTGGATAAGCCGAACATATCGTGCTATTCCGTGTGCACATGCAACCATATGAACTTTTCCAGCCCACGTGTCCAGAATCAGACTGACGAGCCATCTGCGTACCCAAACTAAGCCGCTACGGATGCAACAGTGAGTTTTCTGATGTAAGTTCACCCCTATAGTCAATCAAAACCTGCTGGACCCTACTATCATAGGAGGAGATTGGAGTATAAGCAACCAACGTTCTAGTGATTTACCCATTGCAATATTTCCCCATCCAACTGTTGAGGGAGTCGTTATCTTCAAGAAAGCATCATATTGCAGTTTTTGAGGAAACTGTGACTTGAAGGATTGCACCAGCTCCCTAAGCGAAATTGTATCTGGTGTTTATTGTCATGCCATTGTCATGTTTCATCCGGCTTTTGGCTCTAAATGGGCCTCCGCATATTCTTCCGGGTTTACACTGGCACGAGCAGCTTACATGCATCACCGCCTTCTGATCACCCAAAACCGCCTAATCAACGCAGGTGTCCCGTGTTTCGGATACCAATCAACCATGGTGCTCGTCACCAGACTCTTGTTCATTATCAGAAAACAAACATATGAGCATTGTATAAACATGGAATAATTCGACCATTATTTAATCAAACCGGATAGTTTATATAGCGATGTGAAGAAACACGGCTAGGTTCGGAAAGTTTGTTATGACATTCGCTTTCTTTCGGTGAACACAAAGCCCAGTCCTTCGAGGATCAAATTCTTAAAAGCCATACGGATTTTCACTTTAAGGGAACTGTATGGCCGTATGAAACGTGTATTCGGATATCGATATTTGGAAATGGAATTGGTTGGTGCCCCTATGTAGGAATATTCGGTTGGCGTTGCTTAGCAACGACGAGGTAGTTGCTTTCTGCTCATCTCTGTCGGCTGTCAGGTACTTGGTAATGAAGGACTTCTGCACTGAAGCCTACCTTCTAAGCCTCCACACTACTGATCTATGAATCAGTAGTATCAAATTTATTCTAGAAATAAAAACAGCGGAGGGGCAGGTAAATGACGTATGAAGGTAAACTGGCGCAACCGTATTGTACATAAAATCATGTCGTATTTATTTTATTGGAACTGTTCCTAATGCTTACATGTGGCCTTTACATATGCAGTCCATAGAAGCTACGTACAGAACAGAACCCCACTCAATTACAGTTTGACTGATGGTGGTCATTGGCTTGTTCGCTGAGCTGGGCAAATTCGATTGTTTGTGCACACCCACCAACCCACCGCTACGCACTACTAGGCTCCACAATAACGCACTGATGACGTCACCTCGATTGGTGATAAAACTTTGCAATCAAATTACCCAGCTCAGCGAACAAGCCAACGACCACCATCTACGCTACCTGAGCTACCGACATTTTCCTCTATAGAAAACAGTTTGACTGAGTTTTACTGCCAACAATGTCCATGTTGAATAGACAAGACTCCCAAAAAGTGCTCCCGGAGGAAGAATGTCGGCAGACACCAGAATGCGACTACTTCACTAGAAGTAACGACCGTCCGACTTAACTGTCCTAACAGCTGTAGTTTTCTTAGTCATGTTCAAACTCAGGAACTTTACCTTGTCATACATGTCAAGTCCAGGTTAACCAAAGGGCTACATCGAGTTCCTTTCGATTCCAGCAGAAGGTTGAGTGCATCGTCCCTAGGAAAACTAGGACCAAGCGATTCGTGATGGTGAAGGCCAAAGGCAAAACAACTCGGTGTCTTGTATTTGAAAGATGCTCGCCAGTTGCTGACTGTGGTAGCTTACTACCAGGTAATGATCCCCAGCATTGGTATGTCGTCCGCTTCTAAGATAAAGAGGAACGTGCTCCTTCCTGCAGTTGAGATACTGGTTCTGTTTACTTAACTTTTCTCGCAATAAGTTGAACTGGTACACACAGTGGGATTTGGTCTGAATAGGATAATGTCTTCCTTGGAATCATGCTTAGGACCCCGACATCCGTGGCTTTGTATGTCCACTTTGAGCCGACACCAGATGTTCCGTTGTTCGGGTTATTTGACTTATCCCCTCTGGAGGATAGTTCTATTGATGATTTTTCTGGGTAGGTAGTTTTAGTCTGAATTCACTGGACAGCTTTGCTTTGATATCCAGTTGGCCCGGAGGTATTTGTGGGTAGCTTCAGCCGCTTCTAGAAGCAGATCCGGCGTTCTCGTGAGAACAGAGCTTTGACAGTGTTGCATTTCTAGTTCAAAGCTTTGGAGCTTTAGAAATGTACAAATTTCCCCTGTCGTGTAGATTTTCATGTGACATGTTTGTCGTACCTGTTATATCTGCTGATTCGCCAATCTGTTGTACCTGACTGCTGGCCCGCTCCAGTGCCTAATGCCGCAAAAGACTCACAGAAGGGAACACAACAGCTATATTCCCAACAAGCGAGTGCGAAAGTACGACGTTCTCAAGCTATTTATTGGAGAGACACCGTCTAAACTTGGTCCAATGCTGACGCAGGCGGTCTGGCTTTGGTATGAGGCTGCGACTGCTGCATATTGCGGGAGCGTTGTCTGACTTTGACCAACACTGACTCTCGCTGCCTGGGTTTGATACAAGGCTGTGAAGCGCCGCATACTGAAGGGGCGTTGTCTGTCTGGTCAAAATCTAGCGGAGCTGAGTCTCAGTATAGTTGAGGCATTCGGTGGTTGCTTTCAGTAGTCTGACCCTCCTGATAGTACCTATTTGCGATGAGCATGCCAAAGAACGTGAGGTAGTCATCACTTTCTTCTCCATTGGTTGCTGTGAAATCCCGATGGATGCTATTGGGGGGAACCTCAAGTGGGCATGATATAGAGCAATATGAAGGGGCAGTATATAAGAACTAGGTTACTATCAGTGCCAGGTCGGCGACACTGATTATTTCCAATTATTTCCAATAAGAAACACTGACGACCAAGTTTGCGGGACGCCTCAATAGCAATCATCCGGATCTCACAATAACCCACGAAGAGAATGATGAATGCCTTCCGTAGTTGGACATACTCATCATATGAAAGTCGAGAAACACCGTATAGCTGTTTCTGGGATCACCAGTAGTGGGCGTGTCACGAAAATCGAGGGGTTCCGAATCCGCGACCCCCGGCCAATGGTTTGAACACCTAACCGTTCAGTCAGCGGCGGTTGATCAACAGTAAGATTAACTCTCACCTAGACAGGATATGGTACCACTCATCCTTCAATCACGGACACCACTTCATGTGATCACGCGTTGACCGGCTTCTCAACACAAAAAATCACCAGTCGTGTAAAAATATGCTCTCTTCTGAGCTACTTAAAGATTATTGAAACAATATTAAAGAACATTACCAATGTCAATCGTAAGAATCCTCCAGATCAATTTACCACAATTTAACCTTGTTGTAACTCACTACTCGTCCTGAAGATAAAACGGCAACAGCCCACAATGCGGGTAATAAATCGTTCAGCTGTAACACCATTTCGGTACCATGCCGCCAGAAGGGAGCATGAGGGCTGGGATACCGCCAGGTTGCCCAAGCCTCTTGAACTATCTAAGTACTCTGAACCCAAGGAGATAGAGTGCTTCGCATAAAGGAGTGACAGCTGCCGTTCTGAGATGAAGCGGCTTCCGTCGTCGCGTCGGCCGACGTGGCGTGAGAGTAGTGTTAGTTGCAAGTGTGTTGGTTGTGCGTGGACTGGGATACTACCGTGCCGCCCAGACCTACACAGGACGATTAGGGACCTCAAACAAAATATGAATCGCATAGTGGACTTTGGTGCTTCCAAACTCAAAATCCTGATCGCAAGACAGCGGCGCTTGGTATGAGAGACTGTGTATCAGACATACACCAACCAGTATAGCTCAATGGGTCACGGAGGCACGCAAACACTACATCTTCATGTACCCCAGAAAAACTGGCGATCAAATGAGACACCGCCGGTAGCTGATGACGCTATGGCCCGTCTGATTCCAAAGATGTTCAGCAGTAGGGAAATGCCAGGTAGCATAACAGCGCCCACTGTGTCTGGTACGAGAAACAACTGGTGGTCAGTAAAAATTTGCAAAACGTTGCGTTCACTCTAAACATAATACCACGGTGTGTCCCTGATAAACCGAGGAGTCCTACTCAAACTCCTGGGGACGGACAAGAGGACGGTCAGTTCTCGATAGGTAGTTTACAATGAGTCTGAGACACGGTTCACTGAGATACAAATGAAACGACAAACCACGTTCTGCATTTCGACCAGGGTGGGTTGTTGAGAAGCAGAAAGTCGGTATCCAGTCGAGCAACGAATTCTCAACAAAAAACTTAATGTTACACCAAACACCGACGCAACCCGGATCACTCCAAGTTCGTAATGTAGATTAACGGAGACGGTGTCGTAGGCTAAACAAGTGTACTTAGATCGTCTGATCGACTCTCAGAGGTTCGGATGTAAGCCGATAGAATAGCTAGAGAACGCGCAAGAGTAGTTTCCTAGTCGACCTGCTACAGTTCTTATGTTAAAGGCTGCAATGGAACAGGACGAAGATTAAATAGCAGTCACTGGATGGTAGATGGGAGTGGTGAAATGAAATGTATCGACTCCATGGGCACCCGACTAACGTGCCCAACACCGGGGATTGAAATAAAATGATGATAAAGAAAAGAATCGTTCGGTTGTGAAAACCCTTTCGGTGCCTAGCAGCCATGCCACCCGAAGGAAGCACGGGGACTGGGATGCTACCAGGTTGCCCAAGCCTAGACAGGGGAAGTTGGGGTGCGTTCTAACCACGAGATCTTCCCGTCAGTAAATTCGCGCTTTAACCACTAAGCCATCTCGTCCCTCCTAATCAGGGTCTTCATAAGAGTGATTGTCAAGTGAGGCAAAAAGGGAGTTATGGGATAACAATGAAAATGGGAGGCAGCAGCCTATCCGTCCTGCTGTATGCACCGATTAGTCAGTTATCCACCTGATTCACCATGCCAGCATGGCACAATGTACTTCTACTTGTTAAGTTCATGGTTCTGTGTGGGCTGAGATACTGCTGAGCTCAAGACAGCTCAGTGGTTAAAGGACGAATCTACTGGCAGAAAAGTCGGTGCCTAGAACGCGGTCCATAATCGACGCGTTATCCTGATGCCAAACAGAACCACCCCCTTGCTCACAAGTGGGCGCAGATAGCGTGGGTGCTGAGAATCCTGGACCGCTGGTTACCAACCGAGGGTATAAAAACTGAAAGTGACCGCCAGCATCCATCGGGTCGCGATCTCCATAATTCGTCCTCCTGCCTTTTGGGTAGTCATGGCTCCGGTAGAATCCTTCGCCAGGTTCATTCCGAGGTCTGGACATCTAAGACTCATCTCGCCTACGCAATAAAACTGGATTACGACTAGTCATTACGCGATGACTTCTCAGGTAACCGCCCGGATGAGGTGATGGTAGGCCTGGTTCTACCATACGGTTCCCTCTCACTAAAGTCCTTGGTGTGCATTTATTTTGATCATGCTTCTGTGTTTTATACCACCTGCCTCAGCTCTACAGAACTCGCAACCAAAGCAATGGCCAACCTGTCACCACTGTTGTGGAATCCATTCATCGCATCAGTTGTAATCGATGTCAATTTCTGAACTCCGGTGGAAAATGCTATCCTGTCACGACACCTCACTCTAGTAGCATTTAACGCAGGAAATTCTATGCTAAGCCAACAAAGGAATCGCACTGAAGTGAATAAAACCACCCCGTTAGAATGGTCACTGGGTAGCAGTACGCTCCGCGCTGTATTCCTGAACAATGGATTCAGTCTTGAGATGATAATCACCCAGCTGCACCACCCTTTCAATGCCTAGCTGTCATGCCACAAGAATGAAGCACGGAAGATGGGATACTGTTACGTCGCCCAAGAGTAGACAGCTGCGGTCGAGATATCGAGGTTGGGTTCGAACAACGGACCTTGACCACTGAGCTATCTCGAGCTAATATTGCGGCACTGGCCTGAGATATGAGATAGGTTGGCAAGCTGATATTCTGTGAACACTTACGGAAAAGAACGGAAAGCAATTACTACAACCGCGCGGACAAGGGTCTACCTTTCTACCGCCAATTACCGCCTGTGACCATTGACTCACCTGGCGTCGACCATGTACTAAGCAAATTTTGAGACAGAATCTAGCCCATAATGTCAAGGTCGGACGACTGATCCGTTGTGTCGCCGATGTCCCAGCATCTTAACGGGAAATACAAGCACCCGCTGCAACCCTGATATATAGCACCTGTCATGTCCACATCGCGACCTTTAGTGCCGGCAACAAGCAAGTCCCCATTAAGAACAACGGTGACGGTAAAACATCCAAAACAGGCTAACTGTTATGGAAACGCCACACTGGGCGTCGCCCCAACTGCTTTCATAACCTTTGTCACAATGCGCACGGTTTGCCAAGGAAACTAGTCCTACAGACCCACATATTTGGCAGACGGCCCCCACCACCCCCATAGTGGAAGACTGAGAGTGAGGAGTAACACTGGATGGAATCTGGGTTGTAGTCCAATCTGGTCCGCTCCCAGAACCATCTCAATTTTATTAGAATGTTACTTAGTTGCCGAATGAACTAGCCGTTCTGTAGTGGCTGAAAACAACGTTTCAGCGTTCAATTTCTTAATCACTAAAATCAAACAAATAATTTTGGAAGCATAGAAAAGCCTATTTTATTTGGATCTACAGCAGACTCGACGAGATACAAGGGTTCTAGGACATCGTTCGACCACTGTTGCTGAAAGACGATCAAGCACTTTCTCTCGCCAACTGCTCAGCTTTCTCCAAAACGTCCTCGATCCCACCAACCATGAAAAATGCAGCCTCGGGTATGTGATCCAACTCACCTGGAAGAATACTAGATGAATCAAAAGTACCTTACCATTGATGATCATTTTGAAACCTTTGATTGAATCTTTTAGGGAGACAAGCTTTCCTTCACGACCAATGAATACCTCAGCAACTTGGAAAGGTTGGCTCAAAAACCGCTGAATCTTTCTTGCTCTAGCAACGGTCAGACGGTCTTCTTCGGATAACTCGTCCATACCAAGGATCGCAATTATATCTTGCAAAGAACGATGGTCCTGAAGGATAACTTATATGTGGACTCAGCTCACCTGTAGGATTTTCTGGACACCCCGGGCAACTGAGTAGTGTTCATGACCAACTATGTTTGGATCAAGGATGCGACTGTTCGAATCAAGTGGATCAACGGCCGGATAGATACCCAACTCCGCAATCGCTCTGCTCAAGACGGTGGTCGCGTCCAGATGGGCGAAAGTTGTTGCAGGAGCAGGATCCGTCAAATCGTCAGCCGGAACATAAATCGCCTGTACAGATGTAATAGAACCCTTCTTAGTTGAAGTGATCCGTTCTTGCATAGTACCCATGTCTGTTGCAAGGGTAGGCTGATAACCCACAGCGCTGGGGATTCGGCCAAGTAGAGCAGACACTTCTGACCCGGCCTGAGTGAAACGGAAGATGTTATCGATAAACAGAAGCACATCTTGTCCTTCTTGGTCCCGAAAATATTCCGCCACGGTAAGACCAGTGAGCGCGACGCGGGCGCGAGCTCCCGGGGGTTCATTCATCTGACCATACACCAAAGAAACCTGCAGAAAGCGTTACTGGAACCACTGTCGTACCTTTGAATTACCACCTTTGAGGTCAATAACGCCGGTCGTTATCATTTCGTGATACAAGTCGTTGCCTTCGCGTGTACGTTCCCCAACACCAGCGAACACCGAATAACCACCATGAGCACGAGCAATGTTATTTATAAGTTCCATAATCAGGACGGTTTTGCCGACCCCAGCGCCCCCGAAAAGCCCTGTAGTGGAAATGTTGAGTAAAATATGACATACCGATCTTTCCACCCTTGACATACGGTGCCAGGAGATCTACAACTTTAATACCGGTCTCGAGGATCTCCTGTTCAGTGCTCATTTCGATGAAAGCAGGAGCGTCTTGGTGAATACCGGACTTCATCTTGGTGCTGATAGGACCGCGTTCGTCGATGGGTTCGCCAATGACATTCATGATTCGCCCCAAAGTTTCCGGCCCAACAGGAATCGTAATAGGGCCACCGGTGTCAACACATTCTTGTCCACGGACCAGGCCCTCTGTGCCATCCATGGCAATGGTTCGAACGGTGTTTTCACCCAGGTGCTGAGCTATTTCCAAAATAAGGCGAGGGGTGCGGCCCTTGACTTCCAAAGCATTAAGAATAGGGGGGAGATTCTCATCAAACTGAACGTCTACCACAGCACCGATAACCGCGATAACGCGACCAGTTGACGGGGCGGCTGCCGGCGTGGCGGAGGCAGGCGCCTGTGCTGCAAACCCGCGTCCTGTTGTGCTCAGTAATTAGTTGGAAAGGTAAACAAACCATTGATGAAGTTCGATACAGCACATGGCTTCACATAAGCCGTGATTCCGACGTTCGGCCTCAAAAGCTTGGCGACCGAGAAAACTGTCCTCAAGGACTTCATTATGGCAGCTAGCGATTACCCGCCAGAGTGGATGGCGGTCCCACACCGCTGAACTGTAGCGTAATTAAACAAGACGATTGGTTGAATTTCAATCAATGGACTGGTTCAGACTCTCTTGAAGACACCCAGAGTCGTGTCGCAAAATTTTCGGTGATCTTTTTATGAATATGTGAAGGAGTGCGGCTTCACAGAGTGCCCATATCCAGGAATCAGTATTCCACCAGACTCTAGGGCCAGTGATTTCGTGGCATATGCGACTACCGTCCACACTTTTCTAGCCAACACTTCAGTACTCTCCGTGTGTTGCACCACTCAATTAATCCACATGGACTGTATTTGTGAAATAATATGGGTCGGTCACCAAACTCAGGAACGCGTCGACTAGGAACAGGTCCTCTTCACCCCTTTAACGTTTCAACACCACACGGATGATCTTCAGCCTGCCGTCATCAGTCCATGAGGTCATTAATTGGAATGCGGAGCAGTAAGTGAATAAAGAATAAACCAACGGTTTCATGGATTTTACTGGACAGCTTCTGATGAGGTCCTCTTCACCCCTTTAACGTTTCAACACCACACGGATGATCTTCAGTCTGCCGTCATCAGTCCATGAGGTCATTAATTGGAATGCGGAGAAGTAAGTGAATAAAGAATAAACCAACGGTTTCATGGATTTTACTGGACAGTTTGCTTCTGATGAGAATCTTCCGGCACGGTTCAGGTGTCATTGGCGAGGTCCCAATCTGTAGATTCACGGATTCACGGATAAGTTCATGGGCCAGGACAGGGGGCATCCCCAGTTCAATGGATTTTACTGGACAGTTTGCTTCTGATCAGAATCTTCCGGCACGGTTCAGGTGCCATTGGTGAGGTCCCAAACCGTAGATTCACGGATTCACGGATAAGTTCAAGGGCCAGGACAGAGGGCATCCCCAGTTCCGACTGTTGGGACGGCTATAACTGGGAAGGATGGCGGCACTTTACGAGAAAAAGGCACCCCACTGTACGTCTCCACCTGGCCCCTGGTGTCTAAGCTTATATACGTCCACGCGTGGTTAACAGGGCACCACACAAAAAGCATTACGAAATAGCACCTCTTGTCTAAGCCGACCGTCAGATTGGACAGGTGTTCGTGATTTTCCCATGATCAGATACGGCTACTCGGAATATAGATTTTTGACATTGTCATCAAGCGAGCAGTAGGGGTTGCCAGGGGCCCGGAAGAAGTCGGTTGTGAAATGGTTAGAAAACAGTTCCGTGTCGGCGTCTTGCCCGCGGGTCAGACCAGAATGAAGGAGGGCGTGCGTGCTTCCTCGCGTTTCTATTGCCGTTGTTCGAACCACCTTGGAAGCTCCTGGAAAGGCGATGCATTGCCGATGGGATGTGCAATTGGTAGCTGTTTCTTTTTCAGATGTGGAGATTTGAGTGGATGCAGCGCAAGGGCCGCTCAGAATTTTCGGATTGTACAAACACCAGTCGCTGAGACAGCATAATGGTGGTTTTGTGGTTTCTGTGCAGATCAGCGATCTCATGAGGATCCAAGAGGAGTATGAGCCGGTCGGCAAATATGAGACAGATGTTTTTGCCATGACTGCGCGAAAACCCATCGTGCAAAATAATTCCCGGTTCCCGTAGATGCGGTATGTGTGGGATCACTACCGCGTCAGCGAACACAGAAATGAACACAGGATCGGCACAACCATACGGGTCTGCGAGTGGATTCTTATCAACATTCTGTAACCTATGCTTTTGAAGACGGATGGGTTCGCGAAAACCCATCGTGCAAAATAATTCCCGGTTTCCGTCAATGCGGAATGTGTGGGATCGCTACCCCGTCAGCGAACACAGAAATGAACGCAGGATCGGCACCACCATACGGGTCTGCGAGTGGATTCTTACAAAAATTCTGTAACCTATGCTTTGGAAGACGGATGGGTTCGCAGTGTTTCATACGGAAACCACCGAGCCGACAATGAGCATCTAACGGGATCAGAGAATAAACTCTCCCGGAGAACTAAGGTGATGACCGCTGCAGAAGAGCGGTGTATGTAAAATTAAGCAGGGTTATACAGGGCAGTTTCATCTCTGTGGCAACCAATTGGTTTCATATATTTTTTCATTGAGTCGTTTGTGTAACAGAGGTGCCAGAAGCCCAGCGATGCCCCAGTTTTGTTCGTGATCGACAACCTCTGGTGTGAATCCGAACTTTTTCAATGTGGAGAGGCACAACCTTCCCATTTCGATGTCCTGCCGCACTCTTAACCAACAGCATTCATGGCTGGTTACATCCAAGTGGTATCCCCTTGAGAAGGCGGAACAGCTTCTGGAAACATGAATGCTTTCGCAGAAATCCAAGATTCTGGTCCTGTCATCCGCTGGGTGACATCGTGGGCAGGGAAAAATTCGATCGTTACTGAAATCTCTGGAAGTACGAGCTTGCGCTGCACGTTCAGGCAGATCGTCCCAAAAACGAATCGCCTTCCGGGTGAGCGATTGTGCTAGCTTTACAGCCTCCATCTACTTTCATTAAATTTGTGTGAATTTCCCCTCAGAGTTTCGTCCGAGTTTCCACCCAGAAGCTCGCAGCACTTGTTGGGGTACTCCTGCGTTATCCTGAATTTTTCATCAAAGCCCTCCAAAATGGGGGACTTCCAAACCCGCAGCACAGATTTTATTTGCAGGATCAGTAATGAAGCTTGTGAAACGCTCTGCTTCGATATGCTTTCCGCCGTACGCTGCAACTGTGCTTTATTTGAAGCAAAGCATCCCTCCGGGGTTCATCGGTACACCGTCTGCTGGTTCCAAAATTGCCCATGGCTAAAGTAGTCTATTACCGCCCATCCGACTTCTGTCAGATAAACCACCTTTCGTGCATTAAAGATGAGCCCAGCAGACGCTCTGTTGTTGCTTGTGAGTAGCTGAAATTTCTCTTCTAAGCGAACGTCGTCACTTTTCTTCTCACCGAATCGTTTTGTCTAGGTACCGTTGATTTACCAATAAGTTTTCTGGAAGCTTAGCGCCATTATTGGCTGCAAAAGCGAAACGGTTAGACAATCCAGTCCAGGTGTTCATGTCTACAAGAAAAGTGGCTGGACCAGGCTCTAGTAAATTCGTCAACATGGGCCGTTCAAAATGGTTCCACCTTCGTATAGGGTTGGTGAAAATTCATCGACAGTCCACGACCGGTTTCGCCCCTATTGGGGCTCATCAGGTAAGCGCAGTCCCTGAGTTTCCATCAATTCGAACCCGCCCCGTAACCAACACCATACCCCTTCTCTTTCCCCGTCAGCGTCACATTCATGGGTTCTGGAAAAATTTCTGCCCATTGAGTTCACCTATTCGTGACTACGTGGCGCCTCAGTCCATTGAAAGAACCCAAATGGATTTTACTGACGACGTTTCCCCGTCCTCCTGTTGGACTTTGCGTATGGGGATCGTGGACGATGCATCGCCACGTCTCGGTGACGTTTGAAATAGGTGCTCAAACTCTTGAGGCACTTGAAAGTGATGGAAAGACGAACAGACCCCAATCTTTTCAGCGTACTGCCGTGTCTCGTCAAAAGTCACGCAGGTCTATAGTAAAAAATTACAGCACTTGGGGAACGAGCCGCCACTAATTTCTCGATGCCTCCGAAACGCCTAATCCGATACCAGTAACCTGTCCGCTCCCGAGGACTACCGCACGATCATCCACTTGACGAACTATCGCCATCAAACTTACACCTTTAGCTCCGCAAAAATGAAACATGAAAATGAGCTCACTCCGCTCTAGGTACTAAAAGAATAAGTAGCTTCCATCCCCGGAAATAGCCGGCCAAAAACAAGGCCTCTAGGTGGTCGACTGCAGCGTGCACTGTGCCCCCTACAACTAATTGCACACAGAGTGGTCGAAGCCAGCACACCAGCGGCTCAAGGCGAAGGGTATGGGAAATTTGTAATTGCACATCGGTGGGCATATTTCGAACTCGTGATTGTCACCGAGACCTGAGACCTTTGAAGGAACTTGTATAATACAGCCTGCTTAGACACTCCCTGCCGGCGACTTCTGAGGCAACGGAAAAACCATCAGATTCCTCTGTCCCCAAGAGAATTTTCGCCATCAAGATCACATCCTAAATGACCGCTCCCAAATTTCCGGCAACCTATTAGCCTGTTTATCCATGTTCAACTCTTCCGATCGCTCAACCCAGAAAACCCATTACCATTATAGTTCATGACCTCATCCCCTTTCCCGCGAATAACTCCAAGTAAACTGTTGACGTTCTACTGTTGGCCCTTATTAAGCTTATCGGAGCCGATGTTTTGGCTAAATCTGCTACAACCCTGTAGGCCGAACAAAATAGATTAGCCCGCTAAAAGTGATGACGGTCGGTCGCCAGAGCTGGAGCTCCTGCAAGAGCTTAGACTCCCGAAATAGCGGAATAAGAATTGTTTTCTCAAGCTTTCCGCTTCTTTGCTCCGACCTTCAAAGTACAGGTCACATAGACACATAACCCTCAGCATCCGTTCCACCACATCTTTTTTGGGTAACAGTCTCATTTCCCAACAATGCCCCTGTCGACTTTCCATGACGATGAACAAAAGTGTGTGGACCTGACAGTCCATTAGTTAGTATCAGTTGCAATTCACCCACTGTACACAACAAACAGGTATAGCTTCATTTAACTTCTTGTATCGCCTTAAAAATCTCTGGTATCTTACTTTCTGCTTGCAGGTGGCTACGTTACATTTGTAGAACATTCTCTGGCGGGTGGGGCCTCTGGCCCTGAAGAGGTTATTCTTATTAGTGCATGTTTCAGTGTCTCTTCCACGCAGTAAATTTGTCGTAGAAGGGACAGCCCACCATTCACCACTGGTTTTACTTATGCACGTGGCAGACAAATGCTCGGTAGATTTATTCTGATCTACTCCATACTTTGACCTTTAATTGTTATTGACCCTCTGAACAGGGGTCATTAATCCTCTCCCGGTTCACTGGTCGCCATGAATCGCATAGAGCAATCTAGTGCCACCAATGAACATCAATATCTCTCAAATTACTGGTCTCTTCCCAGAAGCTCATGATCATACTGGATCTCATTACGTCCTGAAACTTTCAGACCATGCTGGTGACTCAAACCGTAATCAGCGTTCCTCGGACACCAAAGCTTAGTTGCCGGTTCCCTGTCTGTTTTGCGTACACTTTATATCCAAAGCGGACCAAACCTCGATGACTTGGTGACAGTGGACGCTGTTTAATCGTGGCGGAGTGTAAATACCCTGACGAAAGCCCCACAATTTGCCTTATCCTGTGGCATCCAACGTGAGCCCTTTCTCTTTTGGTGGTTTCTGCGCTATTTTAGCCATATTGCAATTCGTCCAAACTGTGGACGCTGTAGCCTTGGTGGACCACTCTCTTTGCTTGGGTGCTGCGGCTATAGAAGAGTTGATATTACAGGTAAACCCAAAAATCATGGGTTACCTTTCTTGTTCCTTTTGACGACTCACAGCAAGCGTGTTTTCTGCCCGTTCACTGTAGAGAGCTTCGCTGTCTTGAGGTCACGTTTGGTTTCCTGCTGTTGTCTAAACATTACTGACAGTGTGGTTGCTGGTACTAAGATTTCAATTTGCGTGAGTCTGATTACCAGAACCAAGGATGGTAGTCGAGCATGCTATCTTCTAGGCTAAAATGGCTTTCCCGGTATCTATCTATTAATGGCACTTAGGTCTTGCCTTATGTGGCACTCTGTTTTCCAGTTTGGAAGGAGCCGGAATGCATCTTTTTATTAGGATTTGTTCACGTAATACGTTGTCACGATATCTGTTGGTCTCACTTAGATAAATTTGTGCCAAGCGCATTTAGTAGCTACTATTCCAAGTAGTTCACATATCCAGTTAGATACAGGGCCCCCTTCTGAAAATCCTAACCGTCTTCTGCACATATATTCCTATGTAATGCTTATTTATACTGTCCAACCCCTGGATATATGTTTATATATATGTATATCGTTAATGCTTCAAGGAATCTCTGCTACCCATAGCTGTTTGTCCCGCAGCTGGCAGTTTCGCTGTTGCTAATGGCATGGCCTGCTTATTTTGCTTTCTTCATTTACCCGTCTGGCCACATACGCAACAGCCAATACAGTAACTGCTGCCCCCACCACTTTTTCCCATCTGTCCGATACGAACTATGTATGACCCCAGTGCCTTATCGTTCTGCGGTATCATGAGCATCCCGAACCATATACGTTTTGCTCCATGATTTATCTCAACCTTGAGCAATCCATTTTCAGTACACACTGACCGCCATATCCAAATGACTGGAACCCATCCGCGGGTACCCGGTCCAACATATACTTGGATTTTAACGAGTTTCTGGAGTACTTCCACTGAATTCCAAGAAGTTTTCAGGTTTAATGTTTCGGTAGCGTTCTATCTTGACATTTCAGCGTGGAAATGTTCAGCTGCTGATCGATTTGGTGGATATTCAAATAAAGAATACACTCAAAGGTCATTTTTGTTAAAAAAAATGTCTCATTCATCCGTTGTCCATATTCGCCAGAAATTCGTTTTGGTTTGTTGAACTCAAAAATCCACTTGGTGGTATTCAGCATTGGACTACTGAGCTCATCCTCTCCCTCTGGTCTATAGAAATTCCCCTTTTTTCTTGTTTCCAGCAATACTGAATGAATTGCGTACATTTTGGTGGATGATTCGGACTCATCCGTAAGCTCTGCGCTTCCTCAACTAATCTAAGCCCAGTAGTTTACTTGTCCAAACTGGTGAATCTTGGACCTACCGGTCAGCCGTTACGAGAATCTACCTCATTATTTCCCCTAAGTTAGGGCCGTCTCCCGGATGCTGTGTGCATGCCATTACCCTACAGGTTTATTCCCTATTTTAGGTCAACTGCCACTAAGCCTATCATTAATCTAAGCCTATCATTAATACGGCGTATTCTCGCCTGTTTAATCTCTACATGTGTTGTGCTGACAAATTCGAAGAACCGATGCGTCTAGAGGAAAGCAATTTAAATGCATCAAAGATGTTTTGCATAACCGGTCTTTGGACTGAACTCGTAAGATTTGAAAAACTGATAAAAAAATTCGATAGCCAATTAACTGATGGTGAAGCTATCATCAACACTTTTCAGAAGATTCAAGATGACCACGAATCATAGCCGCTTTGATTGATGAGAATTTTGAATCCAAGTATCATCGTTTGTTTTCCGACCATGCTCTCTGGTGGCTTGGCTGTTTCTGCTAACAGATTCTTCCGCAAGAAGTTCCAGTTTGGAGTTTGCCCTATGAAATTTTGCTTTTCTATGTTAGCGGTGGACCTATAACTACGTGGTGAGACCAGTAACCATGGTAAGCAGACGGACGGAATTTTGAGCGCTATCTTTTTTTTGTTATGAGTTTTATAATTGTTTCGTCTTCTATTTACCATTGGACATACCAACTTAAAAATGTTCGCCTCGTTTTGTCGCAGGCTCCCTGACCTGCTGTCTCTCCGCGTTACACCTCCGCCAAAATACGCCCTCGGACTCAAAGATCTACTGCCAAGGCCGTGTAACGTAAAACACCTCCAAATACGCCCTCGAGAATCTATCCCTCGTTGTTATCAAGATAACCGCACCTTGCATCGGTCCCCCCATAACTACATGAAAAATACACCAAACCACGAGTACCGCGAGTTTGATGAAACCTCACACCCGTATTTACCGG